ATGGAAGCCGAGATGTTGCTGGCAAATCTCGTAGTATGTACATATCTTGAAAGAAACGCGGGTAGCGTAAGCGTGTCCCATTCATAAACCTAAAATCAATGACGGATTGGTAGAAAGAAATTCGTGGCCTGTGATTGGACGCGTACAGTCGCCATGATGGCATCGTTGGCCAATCCTCGCGCTCACCTCGTTTTCCACAGCTCGTGCACTCGTGGCCGACTCACTTTTTCTCTCTTTATTTCCCTTTTTCCCGGCTTCTTTGTCTCTCTTCTCTGCCTTTGTTCTCCTATCTCCTTGACTCCCTTCTCTCGCTGCCGTTTAGTTTTTTACGAGTTCTTTTTTCACCCCGAAGCGTGTATTTTCCTTAATTCCTTCTCTTTACGATTTCCCCTACATTCTATCCAATATCCCTCCAGATTTGTCCTCGATTCCTCCGCCTTATCTTTGACCTTCCTTTTGCTCCATTTTCATTTACTTCGCTTGGCTTTCATAGCATCGTCTGTTTTGGATTCTTTCTGCGGTTCCGTTTGCTTTGAAAAGCTCGTACGGTCTCCATTTAATTCCGGTTACATTTTGGCATCTTTGATAACTGCTATCGTTACTATCGACTTTATCCTATGGCCTTTTTGCACCGAAATATAACCGTTTATAGTTTTATCTGCTAGGAAGAAAAAGTTAATGGAAATTGGTCCAAGCCTGGCTTAAGCTCCACTCAAATCTAACGTGAAACTAATTTAAAAAGTATCCGATGTCTGATGCAAAGTTGATCTCAAGCCTGATTCAAACCTAACCTAAGCCTATCCAATCCCATTCTAAAACTAATTAAGAATTAATTAGTATTCGATCTAAACTTAATCCAGTTTTAATACAGATTAATCCACGCCTGATCGAAATCTAATCGAGCCTTAATCCAAATTAATTTAAGGCGTCCGATCCAAAGCTAACCTAAGTCGGTTCAGAGCTAAGCTAAAACTACTTTCAACTTAACTTTATTCTTAGTCGAAATTAATGTAAGCCTAATATTTAACCTAACTCGATGGAAAATTATCCCGACTTTATCTGATCGCAATGTAAATTAATAAAAGTCTGATCCTAAGCTGAGCGAATCCAAAGCTACCTTATAGCAGCAGCGGCTATAATTCACGAGCTGCGCGAGAAATTCGTTCAGCGAAAAAAATTCTCGTTTCTGAGACAGCGTACGAAACGCGTTCCAATTCTCATTACGACGAGCCCCTAATGCTGCAATCCGGCGAGTTTGTCTAGTTTTTAAGACAAATGGCGCATTGCGTGCATCAGGCAGGCGCAGTGCGCTAGTTAAACAACCAGCCGACGAAACTTTCAAAGCCTACAGCCTCGACACGTGAATTCCACCCGCGAATCTCTTCGATCGAATCGCGTTAAACGCTTCAAACCACGTGATTCGCCAACTGCGCTCTGTAATCCCTACCAGCTGTTCTTTTTTTAGGTTAACGCATCATTCTTTGGTCATTTTAAAACGATCGACCGACTGATTCAAGACGGCTCGACGATTACTTGATTGCGAGTGAAATTAATCGCCATTTGAAACGTTCACAGGCGAAAGTAGTTAACTCCACTTTGCGCGATCTTCTCATATTTAGTATATCTACGTTTTTATGTCTACCATATATTACTATATTTAGTAACAAAACACTCTTGATCGATCGATTTATCTTATATGATTTTTTTACAGTTTGGTATAGGGCGGATTTCACTTGGATAAGATTGCCTGGAAGGGTCGAGAAGCAGAGAGTTCAATTTCCAAAATGATTTTTGCCTTATCGACCTTGCATGAATTTTAGCAACGGTACGGGTATTCGAAGATCCAGCAAACGTTAAGATAGTTTCGTCCTGCTTTTCAAAGCAAGCGTTCCACTGTGCGTTGAAGGGAATTTAAGGTCGGAGACCAAGTTAACGTTGGGAATGGTAAATGTTGGGGGATGGTTAACGCTGGACGAGATAAACGGAGGGTGGTGATGAACGTTGGGGGTGGTTAAGGTTTGAGAGAGATAAACGTTGCGAGTGATGAACATTGGGGGACGTTAACGTTGCAGGAGATAAATGTGGGGTGTTGCTAGTAAACGTAGGCATACGATGAACGTTGGCGATGGTCAAGGTTTGCAAGAGGTAAATGTTGACAGTGATAAAAAATTAGGAGAAATTAACGTTGCAGGAGGTAAATGTAGGTTAAGATTGCCTGGAAGGGTCGAGAAGCAGAGAGTTCAATTTCCAAAATGATTTTTGCCTTATCGACCTTGCATGAATTTTAGCAACGGTACGGGTATTCGAAGATCCAGCAAACGTTAAGATAGTTTCGTCCTGCTTTTCAAAGCAAGCGTTCCACTGTGCGTTGAAGGGAATTTAAGGTCGGAGACCAAGTTAACGTTGGGAATGGTAAATGTTGGGGGATGGTTAACGCTGGACGAGATAAACGGAGGGTGGTGATGAACGTTGGGGGTGGTTAAGGTTTGAGAGAGATAAACGTTGCGAGTGATGAACATTGGGGGACGTTAACGTTGCAGGAGATAAATGTGGGGTGTTGCTAGTAAACGTAGGCATACGATGAACGTTGGCGATGGTCAAGGTTTGCAAGAGGTAAATGTTGACAGTGATAAAAAATTAGGAGAAATTAACGTTGCAGGAGGTAAATGTAGGTTTACGGTAAACGTTGGCAGTGGTAAATATTGGGCGAGGTTAACGTAGGATGCTGATAAACCTTGGAAATGGTTAAGGTTTGCAGGTTTGGAAGAGACAAATGTTGAGAGTAATAAACACTAGGCGATGTTAACGTTGCTGGAGGTAAATGTAGGTTACGGTAAACGTTGGCAGTGGTAAATATTGGGCGAGGTTAACGTAGGATGCTGATAAACCTTGGAAATGGTTAAGGTTTGCAGGTTTGGAAAAGATAAACGTTAAGAGTAATAAACACTAGGCGATGTTAACGTTGCTGGAGGTAAATGTAGGTTACGGTAAACATTGGCAGTAGTATATTGGGCGAGGTTAACGTAGGATGCTGGTAAACGCTGGAAATGCAGGTTTGGAAGAGGTAGACGTTGAGAATGATAAACATTAAAAAATGTTAACGTTGCAGAAGGTAAATGTAGGTATATGGTAAACTCAGTTAACGCAAGTTAACGTAGGGTGAGGTATACGTTGAAAATGCTTAAGATTTAGTACAGGTAAACGTCGAGGCTGATAAAAATTGAAACCAGTTAACGATCGAGAAGCCAAACGTCGCTGGTGGTAAATATGAGCAGAGGTTAACGTACGGCGCTGTAAACGTTGAGAATGATTAGGATTTGGGAGGGGTTATCGAAAGAGATAATCGCAAAAGTGGTGGTAAATTTTTGAGCTGTCGGGCATTGGTGAGAGATTTACGTTATAGGAAAGTAACGTTGTGAGAACGTTAACGTTGCAAAAGGTACAGTTAAGGAGATGTAAGTAATAGCAATTACACGCCTAATTAATTAACACCTTCTCAAATGGTCAACCGTGAAAAAATTGCTCTGTATGTGTTTACGCAGTTTTTATAAATCGCAGAGTTAGGAGAAGAGCACAGTCGAAGACCAAAAACCAGAAGAATTAAAACCCAAAGGTTTGCGCGATATTTCTCACGTTTGTGTTCCACGTTTGAACAAACATGTGCCGTTTCCAAACAACGAAAAGGGAGGGACAATCGTAACTCGTGTTAACGTCGCGAAAAGGAGGAGAAAGCGAGAGAGGGAAAAAAAGAAAGGGCGAGAATTAATTCAGCAGTGATTTACAACAACTATTACCATGCAGTGTAGAAAGGGGAAAGCGGACATTCGACGTTATATTGTTCCGTGGCTCTAGGAGAAAAGTGGGTAAACCCTGCGGCCAGGCCATCCTTCATTTACAAACAAAAGTGTAGGAAAAAGTTTTCCGAAGCGAAAACAATGGGATCACGGAAAAAGCACGCGAGATTCTCCATCCTTCTTTGCACCCCTTTTCCTCTTTTCCTTCCCTGCTCGTGATCCGTCTCTGTCCCTCTCTTTTTTCCATCATCCGTCACGAACGAAATTTCCTAACTGCATCCCTGCAAAACCTTACGTTCCGTGCAGAAATTCAAAAAGTTTCACGGATCTAGTCGACCGTTTTTTGATGTTAGAAATTGAATGTCACATTGCGTTCAGATTTTGAAGGAAGTTTTCAGAAAGAGACAGAGAGAGAGAGAGAGAGAGAGAGAGAGAGAGCGATTTTTCAACAGCTGACAGTTTAGGATAAATTTATGAATTGTTTAGGTTACTTGATCCTTATTTTAGGTATTTTGCATGTTGCATTCTTAAATTCGTATTGTCGGCTCCGTGGCTGACCTGAATGGAGCGTAGATCAGAGTTTCGCAGTTCTGTAAGTTTCAAGAGCTCGACAATGCTCGAGTAAACTTTCAAGTATCTAAGAAACTAAGAAGATTATAAACAATTTTTAATTCCGCGTTAAAGGAACAGTGAACGAAGCAAATCTCGGTTTCAGGCAGAAATATTAGAAATTTTCTTCTTTCTGAAAGGCACGGTGTTGTGTAACGAAATTTAATGCCCGTGGTATTGCCAGTCCTCGGTGTCTACATCGTCGTCGTCATTTAATAACGCACGTGCAGTTAGTACGATGTTAGCGATGTTAAAACCTTAGGAAAAAAAAAACTTTTTCACATTCGAAAATTTATATCTTTAAAAAGATATCAAACTTAAAAAGTGTCAGGAAAAAAGCAAATTTTAATAGAGAATTTACATTCTCTAGATATTATATAGAGAATTATATATATTTATATATAATTTATATATATATTATATTTTAAAAACGGAAGAAAGAGCGAAACTTCATCACGGAATTTGTGTTTCAGAAAGATATTACAATTTTTTTTTTGTTTTTAAAAGAATTGCTATGAAAAAAATACTAAGTTTAAGAAATAAAAGAAAAAAGATCGCGAAAGAGTAGGGGAAGTAAAAGTGTGCTTTTGTCACCAGCAGGTCTGATCTAACTGAAAGCAAAGAGGAGCAAAACGTGGCGGATTCGGTGACCCCTCGGCTGTGACCAGAGGCGCACAGAGAATTAGGGCAAGGAAATGCGTGAATATAAAATAGTGGTGTTGGGCAGTGGAGGTGTAGGCAAGTCCGCCCTCACTGTCCAGTTCGTACAAGGAATCTTCGTGGAGAAGTACGATCCGACGATCGAGGACAGCTACCGCAAACAGGTCGAGGTCGACGGTCAACAATGTATGTTAGAAATCCTAGACACAGCTGGAACGGTGAGTTTTTCTTTTTTCCCTTTGATATACGCATTATATCTTTTCTTCTTTGCTTTATTATTTCAACTCTTTATTCTATTCACTGTTCTAGCAGTAAAATGTAGAACAGACGTTACGTTATTTAGGATGATTTTTTATTAACTTTTTTTATATTTGATGTTGTGTATATTCTGGTCATAAAGAAACACACAAAAGAATAGCGTTTTTAAAGATCATTTTTAAGGTGTTTTTTTTTTTTTTTTT